AAGTAAATAAATAAATAAATAAATATATTACTGGCATCCTTCCAACCACACCAAACCATATTCCTCCAGGTATTTTCACTTACCATTCTGGAAGCCTGCCTGGCTATCCGGTAGGCTGTCCACCCATTGGAGGTGTTTTCAAGCTGCTGTTTGATAACAGTTTTGATTTCTGAAGACAAAGCCTTCTGACTGGAAACAAATATCACTGTGGCAAGAGAAACCTAATGAAGAGTGGAAGAGTGGGGACGGTTGTATTTCAGGAACCAACCAAACCAAGGAAAAAGCCAATTCTGTTTCCTAAACTACCAGAAATTATCTGTTTCATTTTGGACTCAAAACTACATAGAAGATTACATATACATTTTAACTGAGAACTTCTCAGTCATAGTTATGGCAATCCAAGTATTTCTTGTAGATGAAGGTCATTTTCATTTAAAGAATCTTTACTGTGGCTTTTAACTGAGATATTTTGAAGGCTCCAAATGAATTAATGGGAAGCCTGTCATTTCTTTCTTAAATTTAAAATTCATTTCTAAATAGATGCAATAAAAGCATTTTTATCTCTTAAAGCATATTAGAGGTCACATGTGTCAGAGCACCATACATAAATTGATCTAACTGCCATTTTGCTTTCCTGCAAGCATCATTCCACAGATACTCCAATACCTTCAATATCTGTTCGTCTAAGCAGTGCCACCTTCTGGGAAACCTAACGGAGTACGCTGCATCCTTCAGCTCCATCTATGTGACATCATTTTGACACTGAACACTGACATATGTAGACAAAAGTTAAAGCAAACCAGAAAACAGTGGCTATAGGCTGTCACATCAACTTGGACATAAACAGCTCAGCTGCCTTTTAAAATAAATTCCATCCACAGTAGTTTATACAGACTTTACCCATCAAGAGCTATTGACCAGAAAGAAGTCTTACCAAGAGCTCCTGTTTTTTATCTGTGGTAGACCGTCCAATTAATTTGTAGAGGTCCATTAGGTCTCCCAGCATCCCATCTGCTAGTACAGGCAGCTGCATGGCAATAGCTGCTAAACAGTGGCACATGAGAATCCTGGCAGCATCCTGGGCACTGTGCAACTGGGTCAGCAGGGATTCGACTACTGACTGGCTCAGATGAGGACGGCTCTTGACCAGCTTCACCATGCAAGTCAACGTGATCTGCAATTCACATGATCAACAGGTACAATGAACACGACTACTAAAAATAAAGCCACATACTTATCTGCAAGTATGACTGCAGGAATGTAGAAGATCTGGTATTTTTAGAACCATCCACTCTACAAAAGAGGAGATTTTTCTAAGAGCCCAAACCTCTGTCCCTGAGCTCACAGCACAAAAACATACCAAATTCAAGAAACTGTAACCTCTATCTCATACCACCAGCCTTTACAGGTGAATAAAAAGGCAAAATTACTGGTAGCAGCTTATGAAGTGGGAAAATAAAAATAATAGTTTATACAAGTGTTGTGATCATATACATTGCATCCCCATCTCCAAAAAGCAGGTTGTCTCCAAGATTCTCCTTGTCCTCCACAGACACCTCCACCCCATGTTCAAGTTCATGTTTTACCATAGCTGTTCCCCCTACAACAATCAACTTATTCTAGAGCCAAAAGGAGGTGCGCTGTAGTTGTGCTCAGTTTCTCTACCACTCTGCAGTCTGATTATGGGGAAACATAGGAAGATCTTTATTTCCTTCCAGTATGTTATGCTTCCACCAGAAAGGGTCTGGTGCACATTAGCCTTTCTGTCATACAAGCTATTACTGTAACTTACAGCTCTGCAAGGGGAAGACAACAGTAACATCACCTTTAAGGTCGCCTGAGCTACTGGACTGTCATCTTGACTACAAAGAACAAGAAGAGCTTCTATGCCAAAAACTGCATCTTGCTCCAAAGGCAGAAGATCTAAGAAAATAAAAGCAGAGTTAGTTCCTTGTTACGTTTTCTGATCATAACTGGTGTAATGATTGCACTGCTGTTGCAGCCATGACAGGTAAGTATCTTCCTAATACTTCTGCCTTACTTTATTTTACTTAGAAACAATACTGCCATCCCATGTCTCAGTAACTATTGAGCAGTCACACCAACTGTGACATGTGTAGAGTGTGCACAAGTCTCTGGACTAAGACCTCTAAATGCCCTGTTATTCTTTTGCAACAGACTTCGTGCAAGGAGTTTTCAAAAGCTGACAAACAGCTCACTGATTTTACAAAGTGAGGACAAGCATTTACTTAGTACAAGTTCTACTGTGCACAATTTTCTCTAAGTTAGATGAAGATTGAATCTTTCTAACCATTCAGAAAATATTCTGTATGATTTTTATACTATAGCCCTCATTCTCCCTAACCAGCGTGAAGGATCAGACAGATTTACAGCCAGCTTCAGAAACGAGGCCCAAATACACATTAAGTGCATAAGCCTGGCTGTAAACAGACACATTCCTTGTCCTTGCTCTCATTTACCTTTTTCCTGACAAGAGGCTGATATATTGGTCATAATTCTCACACCATGTGCTGCAATGCCACGGTTATTATGGTAACAGCACTGCTGTGCTAGTTTTACTAAATCAAATGATCTCGCAGTTGTAGCTGCTGTACCTAAGTAAAGACAAGGAAAAAGAGACATAAACACAGTAGAGTCCATCATTACACCATAGATTTTTTCAAGTATGCTTATGCAAAAAAAAAATATTGACTTAAGATTAGGGTTGTTTTTTACATGTTTAAAGGACAGAATGAAAACATATCTTTCTTCACACAAACAGAGGCTCTCTCTCCATTCCTGAACACCATAAAAGTTAGACATATATGAGAAAGAATATTTGGGTCTAAAGGCTGATGTTTTAGGGACTCAAATATTGCCTTAAAAAAATACATCTGATTAAAAGAAAGCTGGTGAGCATATTAATTATTAAGACATGCCAGAATGACTGAAGAGGATGTGCTATTTTTCTCCATTTCTGCAGCCCATGTAGTCAGGCTGGTAATATTCATTAGGGTAGTCTGGCTTTCAAGAAGAAAAAAAGAAAACAGTATGATCACCATTTTAAGAACAAGATATCTTGGATCACTTTAAAATGTCTACTCTGTTTCTACAGAATATAGTCACAAGGCAGAAAGGTTCACCTGGTAGTGAAACAGCTCATTCCCCCAAAAGTGGCATAGCTTCACTGCGCCAGGGTACTGCACCCAGCCACCCTCCCACCATTAAAAGCCTCCATGCTACTCCGCAAATCCATTGTTTCAAAGCACCTTAGGCAGAATGCAGGTCAGCCATCTGAGATGCATTACCTTTCTTCGGCTTATGAATAAAAGGTGAAGACCCAAAAGATAAAAATCACTTTTCATAAAGCATATTACCCACAAAACACAGAACAAAACCTTAAACCATGCCTATTCATGGGTACACAGTATTCCATTTTAAGTTAACAGACAATGAACACTGACTCCCCAGCTACTGTTCTGAAGTTCCAAAACCAGTTCAAGAATATGCTACGAAGCGTTTAGATTAAACTGATTATCAGCAAATTGCCAACCCATTAGATATGCCAAAAAAAAAACCATCTAATCTAGTTGTCTTACCTGGAGCACTGCTGAAATACTGTTTAATGGCAATGGTCCCTGACAACGTGGAAAGAACAGATAGCATGCCCAGTTTCAAGCTGTCATAAGGAGTGTGAAGAGCAGACTCACAGAGTGCCTAAAGAGTAGCAGGACAAAAGATACAAGAGAAGGAAGACCCATGAACTGTCTGTAGTTAATGTTTAGCTGCACTTGCCTGAAAAGTTTTGACAGTCAAGATTTTTCCACAGAAAGCACTATACTACAATAATAATACAATAATAAGTTAGAAGTTGTGTGCTGAAGCATCTGTTGTAGCAGACCGAGGACATGGCTTGCAGAAAAGTGACAGTGAGTCTCATATGCTAGGAAACACCAACTAAGTCATTAATCAAAAAAATCAGTGCCAAAATTATTATCAGTTCTCATTGATCAAATATTACAAAAGATTCTAAGACAGGTCTCCAGTCTCAGAGGTATACTGGTTATTTTGCCTTATAACAATCTGCAGGGTATTATGTCATCTCTCAAGAGCAAAGTTTCAAGTGGCATTGCCTTTAACAGTCCCAGTGTCCAACAGAATACTGCTTAAGTTTCTTGATAAGCATCTTAAAGGACATTTTATTTTTTAATTCATTTTTAGTAGCGTTCCTGTCATACTTTCGTGCCTTTTGCCAAATCTCCTCAGGCCTTATCACATCTAGATTGGAACAACTCTTAAAATTTCACATTGTTCTCAGATTCATTATGCCAATACTGTCCACAATTTGTTTACGCATTCACCAGGTTTGGAGTCTTTTTTAGTCAACAGCAGAGAAAGCAATATAAGACAAACATAAAGTGTATGTATATTCTGCCTCAGAGCACGAAAGCTGAATGATAACATCCAGTAACTGAATAAAGGAGAACACCACAATTAGTTCCACAGAACAAATAAAACCCCCAAAACAGTGTTCTTATCAGGCAGATGTATATTCTTGTATGGTGTAAGGATTAAACTTGTAATTTGTACCAATGTAGTAGATTGCTAATCCACTAAATGGTATGGCATCAACAGACAGAAGATATGATTAGGGTTGATAGTGAGCCTTGCTGTCTCCCAAGACACTAACGTTTTACTCCAGTGCTATTAGATCACCACCCAGAGTACATGTGAAACAGTACTATGAAGAACACCAGCAGCACAGAAGAATCAGCAGGATGGACGGCAGACGGCTTGTTACCTTCAGTCAGTCAGGACTGCTCTAAGCAACAACAGCTTCTGAAGCTGGTGTCTAGAAATCAGTGAAGTCTCTGCAATTCAAGACCTAGCCTCCTATCTGACCTCCAGGCAGATCCACAATGCTGAAGAAGTTAATGTCTTCACCAGCCAGGCATAATAGCGTAGATTAGCATTTTGACTGCAAAGAGTCCATAAACCATTAAAGCAATTCCTTTAAAAATACGTAAAGGAAATTTAGATTTCTTGTATTAATCCATTATGAAGAAGAAAGCAGGTCACTAAAAGTAAAGCCTTTGCACACTCTAAACCACCTTATTTAAGAATCAGCGACAAAGCAAAACCATGCTTTATTCTTCACACAATTAATAACAAATATCTGCATGGTTTTTCCTCCCAGCTGCCTTACTTATGCTCCAACTGCACAGAGAAAAATGTAGCTTCCAAGAGTAACAAAGAGAAAAGACACAGAAAGTAGAGCTATAAGCCTATGCAATTAAATTTTTGAGGTATTTACTTTCCCGTTAATCTAACCTGAAGTTGTTTTCTGTAGTCACTTCTACCAGAAAAAGGGAAAGACAAAGAGAACAAAACGTAAACAGACATTAAAAGTAGTAGTAATACCATCTAGAATCTAACAACTGCTTCCCCAGATAACACAGATGCACTATTAGCACCTTTTAGGGTCTCACTCATACAACAGGAGTCACAAGGATACTGCTGAAAATGAGCCATTAATCCTAAAATGAAGTCAGAATTACAGTTGCCCTTTCAAGTATATCCTGATGGATGACATGCTTTGACAAATCCCAAAGAGAATCTGTTAGAGCATTAATACATCCTCAGTGTGGTAAAATGAATGTCAACATTCACCTCATGTCTGTTAACTCAGGCAAGTTTGTCAGATGGAAAAGTTATTTCCGTACTACTACATGACACATGCTGCTTCTACTTTGATCCTTATGGGTCATCTTACCCGACTTGAAATATTCTGTGATTCCACGAACTGTTCATCAATACTTGGATACTCTGCTTGGCAGAGTAACCTGACTTAAGGTTATGGACATGTATGTTCTTCCTTCCTACACCTCCCAAACTGTTCTTCTGGAAAGAATTCTACAACTCATTACAAAGAGTAAACTAGCTTCAAAATGTATAAACCTGAATATTTTCTCTGCTCCATGTATGTGGTGTCTTGTTGGCCAACAACCTTAAATCTTGGATCGCAAGCCTCTTCACAGCCTTCCTGGGGTCATTCTTCAAGTACTGCAACAAAAGCTGGATCTGCAACAAAGCAAATTCATTATTTGAGAAGCTACTAGAAGGAAGTTTTAAAAGTACTCTTGAAGAAATTTTGAGCATATGCAGCTAAAACTAACTGGCCTTATCTGTCTGATTGCTTGCTACATGGAAAAGCCCCTACTTAGGCTGTGATGCCATGGCAAGCTAAAACAGCTGATTTCTACCATCCTGCTCTCCTCTTTCATACACCCTTCTCTACATCAGCCTGCATATCTGAGAAGCCTTGAAACTTGTTTTGGCACTCAAAGAAATACCATAAAACATCCCTGTGAAGCTTGATAAACACCTTATACTGCCACGATTATGCTGCTAGCAAATATTCTGATGCTACTGGCAAGTACTCTGACCATTTGATGCTAATCTGGGTGGCTGCATCACCTGCAGTTAACAGAGAGCAACACAGACATAACTTGTCTGTCTCTGTAGTTGCCAAAAGCAACCCCAAAAACCAAACCAAAAAAGAAACAACCCCTACCCACCCCCTCCAAAGCATTTATCTCAAATTATGTGACACTTAACCACATGTCCTTTATTGTGTTCATCTCCTGGAAGTTTACAGAGATGGAATAGCCCACACATGAAAAAGCAGGAACGTGCCATTCAGTTTTGCTCTCCATCCCCAACCTGGCTACATCCCTTTTAGGCAGCATTGGCTGTTGTGTTGCAGAAATAGTCTAAATCACCAAGTTTACCGCTATTAAGAAAAGCGCATCAAGTGTTCTAATGTTGTTTCACTTGGCTCAGATTCAACAATATTAAAAGCATCCTGAAGTACAGAAATCAGCCATACCAGTGTTACAGATCAGTACTAATAGTGTAGCAGTAACAGACACCAGACTTCCATAGCAGTACAGGATTGGAAGAAAGCATGTAGATTTTCCTGACTACTGTATAAGGATTAGTTAGAAGAATCTGAACACAGTGACACTGAGACCTGCTATATAAATCACATCCACAAAGCACGTTATCAGAACATGCAAGCGCTGTATTTTTCCATCACTGCTTTCCCACAACTTGTTTTATAGTCCTAAATTGCAGCAACAGATTCAAATTCACCATAGTTCAAGAAATACATTTTTAAAGGCACTCCATGCTATTGAAATATTCATTCGCTTGCGTGCAAGGAAGGCAAAATGCACACCCACAGCCCAAGAAAAAAATGTGGCGCCTGTGTGCTACAGGTAAGATGAAATGTTTTCAGAAAAAGTCAGGGAGTTTGCTTTCCTAAATACTAATTAATCCTACTTGGTTTTAACCCCAATTGATTTAAAGACAGACAGGTTATGCTGTGTAAGAAGGGTTGCTGTGTTTGATAGGGTTATCTGGGAACTGGACTAGAGAGCAAAAAATATGAAAGCAGCAGCTGTTTTCAGAGCATTCTTCCTCTACAGCACATAGGAGCAACCATACCAGCACATCCATCATGGTTTATTTCCAGCATCACCTAGAATTTGAGGTTTTTTAAACGTACTTCAAGTTGAAGGAATAAATTAGGAAGAACTACCTGTTTAGGAATATCAACCAAAGAAGAAGCAGCAAGCAGAGTAAAGGTGTGCAGAGTAACAATGACCATCTTGGTAGAGGGATATGATGTTACCAGCTGCTGAAGCAGCTGCCTGGAGCTGGAGGCCAGGCTAGCGTCGTGATGCATGTGCTGCAGAATAGGGATCAACTTCAATTTCAAGTCCACAGGTGTGGCCAAACCTGCAAGAGGAAAGAGAAACATGGGCTGAATGTTAACAGTTAGTCCTCTACTGGCTTTTGGCAGTACTGAGGCACACAATACGTCTGCATTGCTGCCACTGCAGAACGCAGATTGTACAGACACCTGCATTAGTTTCAAATAACTCATCTACTGGTTGGCAGCATGACGACAGTGGTATCACTTCCACAGCTCTTTGAGAAGTTGCTCCTTGCTTCATCGCAGGCCACGCACATTGAATCATCTGAAGCAACCTGTGTGTGTTTATTCACTGTACCATAGATGAGCTTTTATTCTTTAAAAAAGGTGGTTTGAGAACTTAGGTTTTAAGAGGATACAAGATCCATACCTTAGATTATTGGTTAGCTAATTTAATTTAAAAACTGGAACCATTTGAGGATAACAGCAATAGCATTTTGATATCTGATATTACATATGAAAAATAAAGAATTCTCAGAGAAATTAGAGTTTTTCCCTTTGGTCATTCCCAACATATACATACCTTGAATCATCTCACTGATTTTATTACATATTCCAGCAGCAAAATCCCTACAGAGAAAAGAAAGCGCCAGGTAAAATGAAAAATAAAGAAACAATTAAAAATTGAATGAACTACCAAACATTGTGTTTTAACAATAAACTTTCAAAGCTTGCTTGCCAATACACAAGCCATTTTAGAACCCCTGCATATGGCCATGACCAAGTGGTAAAATGGAAGCCTTGAAAAACATGTGAAAGTAACACGCAGTACTACATTTTGTTCCCTTATATAATTTCTCTGAAATAATTCTTGATTACAGCTGCTATTCCACTTTTCATCCCCATATTTATGAGCTCTCTATTACTATTTTAGAAAAAAACACCCTTAAACTTGTAGTCAGGTTTCTTTACAATACTGTTACTGCACATAATTAAATATTTTGCCATAAATATGCTTAGCACTACACAAGGAAACATTAAGATTTGTGAATGCCAAGGTCAATAAAGTTTCCATACTCTGGAATACAAAAAACTGAAAAAAAAAAAAAACATCTTACTTGGACTGTGCAGAAAAGTTAGCAGCAGCAAATATAGCCGCTTCAACTTCCACATTATCATGGGAATCCAAGCTCTGACGAATACTGTGATGTGCATTCTTCCTTTCTGGAATAATAGATGCCATGCTGCCCAACATCCTACAGAAATAAAGCACAGCAAAATCAGGAATAACAATGATCATGAGGAAATGCAAGATGAAACCAAACAGAATTGTAAAAGGACTGGTTAAAACACTTGTTTTTATATAAATGTGCTCTTTCACACCTATTACAAACAAACAAGTGCTAAAAGTAGGCATATAATTAAAAGGTAACAAGTTTTGCCATGTGGGTTATGTCAGTGTTTAATAAAAAAAATAATTAGATTTCGATACCTTTTAGCTTGAAATGAGTAAGGAGAAATTTAACAAAAACTCACATAAAATTAGGAGTGCACTACAGCACTAGAGACAAAGATTTAAAGACTATTTTATTTTCAAGCTGTGGTATCAATACAATAGATTTACTGCTAAGATGTAATGATAGCTATTTTCAGACGCACATGAAGTACACATCATGGGATACATATTCAGAAATGTGGTAGCGTAGTGGGATTAAAAAAAAGGCACTTAGAGAACTGTTTCCACCCTTTCCAACCCCTCTTCCCAATTAAGACTGCAGAAGTAAATAAATGATAACTGTCTGAACAGTCATAAATTTTAACCCCATGCTAAGAATGCAAAGATTCCAGAATGTTACCGCGATCAAGCCAACAAATACCTGACTTTCAACCTTTGTTTCTAAGATCTTTTAACGATGCGAGGTAAGGTTATTACTGGGAATCATGCAATACCTTTTGCATAACTGCTAAGAAAGGAGCAAATCAATCTATACTTTGCTAAGAAAACCTCAGAAGATACTTTTTGGACACATTTAGCATCATCCAATTAAAAAAGAATGAATGCAGGACTAGCACTGATGGTAATTTCAGCAAGAGTTCTACACAAATATTTACAGACAGTTATCTAGCAATAAAATTCCAGACAGTTTTGTTTTAGCAGATCTTTCTTTCAGCATGTTCCTTCTTACTGGCACTAGTTAAGGGGGAAAAGGCCAAGTCAACTGAAGAACCTGAAACT